TCACAGCTCTCTGAAGCTAACAGTCTCCTAGCAAAACCGGCGAAGGACAGACAGACGGATATGACGAATCATAAGGGTTCCTTTGTTTGTCAGGACTACGAAACCCCTATAACGTATTTTGTTGCTTTACTGAAGTTTAGCTATCTATGACTATGGGATTTTATTAAGTACTAGAGTGTATTTTATTTGGTTCAAAAAACAATTACACATGTAAGCAGACCCGTCTTTCCCAGTGGGCACTTTGGGTAAGTGCCCAGGGCCCCGCATTCGATAGGGGGGCCCCTCAGATCAAATACAAAGTCCCTAGTTCCTGTTAAATCACCAAACGGAAGTCATATGTCCCCATTATCCTAATATGCTCCGGGCCTCCAATAGGTCAAAGACGGCACTGCATGTAAGTTATGTATAAATGTTTAATCGTGTTAATTAAAATTACTTATATAAAAGAAAAGAAAAAGCACTAATTATTTATTTGAGTTACTTTAGCTGTGTAGATGTTGTTTGCTTGCGTATAATCAATAATTTATGTAAGTATATTATTTTTCCATTAATAAATTGTAGGTTAAGTAAAGCCAATAAAATCCTGTATCAATTTCCAAGCCTTTTAACATAAAAGTCTCATTCGAAAGGCGCCCGTTTGTGTTTGCAAAAGGCATACTAAGGCACCCCGCGCAGTAAACGATTTGATATAATATTTACCTTGTAAACATGTTGATATGACTGAATGTAAATTTGGAAATTCGAAACCCATTAACGATGATGAAGTAGCCGAAGGCCGCGTTGTGATATATAGTTCAATGTGACGATAGTTAAAATACAATAGAAAATTAAACCATTTGTCAAAATTTGAAACTTTTTAAGCAGTGAATTACAAAAATTCAAGTACATTGTTTGCTTCTTTTACATATTGTGCTTTCACAACTTACTTAAAAAAAAAGAAAAGTCAACATACTTAAAATAAAAAATTGAATCACTCGAGTCCGGTGAAATCCACAAAAGTCCACCGCTATTTTTCAAAAAGAACAAGAAGAAGAATGTGCACATTATATAGATGAGTGTTAAAGGAATCCTTAGCTAGTTATAGGGTAGGTGCGACTAAAAACAATCAAAATGGAGTATTTGAACCTCAGATACGGGGTTGCTCATACATTGAGCTCATATCAAAGTAATGAGCTGGTAGGGTGGGGAAAGTGACATTATTTTAATTAACCTGGTGACTGTTGGCGGCGATTTGATCTCACAACCTCAACACAGATTTGGTAATATGTCTTATTTCTCTACATTCATATTAAGGATCTGTAGGTTCGCCAACATGGCTTTGCAATTTTATAAGCGAGAAATGAATTATATTTGAAAAAAGATTTTAAAGTAAAATTTTTATTACCCCCCCTCCCCCCCTTTCGTTAATCTTTAAGCATATCGCATTAAATTTTTAATGGTTATAAAAACGCGGGCGGTCCGGGTTCCATTCCCAGTAGAGGAAGATTTTAAAAGTTTCACTTGCATTATGGTGACCAACAAAAAATTCATACCATTTTTTTACATAAACAAAAATACAACTGTATACCATAGTTATTCTTTTGTGCATGAAAAGGAAAAATAAATAAATTAATATTTTATAATATTCATTGCGACGCCTGATCGATATTGCTCGATCATAAAAACATAATTTTTGTTAAACACATGGTTTAAAAAAGTGTCGTCGCGACCACTAGCCGGAGTTTGGTCGTATAGTGCGCGTTGCGCCTTACATTTTCTCATTTTAATGTTAAACACATTCAAATATTAACACGGGCAGTCGTATAAATTTCGTCGTATTTAATTAGGGAATTAGGCTTTGCGTTTCGCAATTCCTTCGTTTGAATAAAACCTTAACGTTTGTTCGTGGCCTGTAAACCTGTTAAGAATTGTTTAACAGAGTTCAATTAACTATGTAAATTGGAAACTATGTCGGCTAAATGGGTATTTTATTTTTCAGTAGGTAAAAGTTTTAATTGCCCCAGTCTGCGGCGTGGGTGGGGTGAATAAGGAGTTATTTTTAACCGACTTGAAACAAAAAACATTGAAGTCCTTTAAGCGTCGTGTATGTTTGATCTTGTGTCTGTTTGGCGATATTCGTGTGAACTTGTGACCTGTTCAAAAATATATATTATATATTTATTATTAATATCTCTTATCTATTAGACAAGTCCGTCCGTCTATCTGTCTGTGGTGCTGTTTCAGCGGCTAAACCGTAAGAGATAGATAATGAGAATATTTAAGTTATAAGTTAAGAATAGTCTGATAAGACTACAAACCGGATTTGAGTAACGTAGCACTTCCGGTTTACGAGAAATCACGAATTTCAAACGAAACCACACAAAATCTCCGAAGTTCTCAATTAATTAAATACACTTTTTTCTTTTTTTTTAAATCAGGTTTTGGTGAACATTTGGTTCACTGGTTTGCTAGTATATCTATAATATAAAAATGAATCGCTGAATGTGTTGCTTAGCGCAAATCTCGAGAACAACTCAACCGATTTTGATAATTCTTTTTTTAGAATATTCCTTGAAGTACGAGTGTGGAGTAAAAAAAATGCCTGAAAATGTCCAAAAACAACATTTTTCTATACTCCCATACAAACGATTCGTAATAATACTTAAAAGTCAATTTGAACTTAACACATCGTAAATTTCAAATGTTAGTGGAGACGTTCCGGGAAGGCAAAACAATTGAGCGACGTGATGTCAATAAAGTTTGGAAAAGCAAAATATACCATATTCAGTTTTTTTTTTATAATTATATGAAGAGTCATTTTAGTTTACAATACAGCTCTACACCGAAGCGAAGAGAGGGCGGGCCACTAGTCTTATATAAAAATGAAAACCTATGACCTTAGGTCACGCCATCATTTGACTAAGCAATCGATTTCATTCGTTATTTTTTAAGTTTTCCTGAAGAAAGGTGCGCTGTAAATAATAAAAAATTAAGAAAATATAATTTACAACCCTTACCGAAAGATTTTTAAATATTTTTATTGGGTAGAACAGTATATCCCGACTTTCTTATTTGATCCCGACGGATAGAAGACTTTCTAATCGTCTCCCAGGTGTAATAGGAATTCATTTTTATATAAGTATAGAAGATAATACACCTATAACATGAATATGTACAAGCTCAACCCCCCCTCCCCCCTTCACCTAGACATAAAAAATTTGCTAAATGTATTGCTTACCTGACCAAAAATTTCTGGTTCCTGTAAACTCGAATGAATTCACTATGTGACTCCAATCCCAACTGAGTTATAAGTACCAAGGATCGGAAACGTTTTTTTAAACGTTTCTAACAGTTCTTTGTATTGTGTTCCTTACATTGCGTTCGGAACGAAAACACGAAACGTTATTTAAAATAACGTTTTTTTAAACGTTTCTAACAGTTCTTTGTATTGTGTTCCTTACATTGCGTTCGGAACGAAAACACGAAACGTTATTTGAAAAACCGGTTTAATCCGCGGGGACGGTTCTGCGTGGGTCATTCGGCGATAAGATTGAACTTGTTTATGCTGCTGCGCGACGGGCTTCTTTTTATTTAATCATTGTGATGCGCTTACTGACTGAGCTGACTAAAAAGAACAATGAATCTTAAAGATTTAGAGTAAGTACTTGATTCCATATAATAGGATATTGGTACTCAACTGAACCGTCCATGCTTACTGTACTATACACTATGTACTAAGAGTATACTCACGGGTTAATATCAATAGTACCTAGGTACCTAGTCTTAAACGAAATTTAGTAACTTACTAACGACGAAACTAAACCGTGACAGTGAGATGCCAATTGAATGTAATATTTAGAAATTTGAGAAACACCCAAAACGTAAAAAAAATGGGTGCGTGTACTTATGTAGGCGCGTGAGAAGTTATCCTTCTTTGGCATCGTTTAAAATTAGTTTTTAATTGCATGCAAATAATTAATTACAATAAATTAATAAAAAGTCTGGAAAAGGACACAGTCAATAAAGTTCAGTTTTAATTTGAAAAAATAAATAAATAATCAAAATATTCAATTAAAATCGCTACTGAATATAATTTATTACAACATATGTGATTTGCACTTGTATGAAACTCAAACACGTATTCCGAATATACAAACTAGAAACATGTGGATAAATATTATAAATATGAATACCTATAACTGTTACTTTATTACAAAAAATAAAGATGTGGTTTTTGGTTCCACTACACCAATGGTCAAGAGATGGCGCTGTAGTCTCCTGAATCGCGCTTTGGTTCCGTTGTTTCAGATAAATAAATACTTTTGATAGGCCTTCACAATGCAGTCGTTAGCACCCACTAAATAGAGATTCTATTTCTATTTTGTTGGTAGATTTTCTTAATGTGCGGTAACACAAAAGTAAAAAATTTTGTGTTACAGTGATGCGCGCGCATCTTAAAATTTCACTCTCATCATTTTTTCATAACGCGCCTAAAGAAGTATAACTTCAATAAAAACGGTTAAAAACTTTATGTTAAACGAAATCGGTATATTTGTTTTGCTCTTCAAAAACGTTATTTATAACGTTCCGTTCGAATATAAAACAAAACATATTGTTCTTTAGGTATTTAAGACGAAAACGTTTCGAAAAATATACCGGTATCCGACCCCTGATAAGTACTATACATAAGTGTGAAGCTTTATGTACCCACAATTCATACTTTAACACGCTTCAATTATGTATATGAAGTTGCCTCCCCTTTTTTATCTATCAGATGTGAGTCGATACTCGTCACGCCTGTTTTTCTTTGAGTGTGTATGCTGTTGGTCGCAGATGACCATTATGTGCGTATAGTGCCTCAGAGGTATTCCAGACGGAACGCCTGGTTTCCTAACCCTTCGTGATGGTGACGCGGATCCCCCCCCCCCCCTCCCCCCCACAGAAGTTCCTGCAAGAGGACTAACTTAACAGATGGCGATGCCCTTGGAATATGTACTTAAATTCTTTAAATTTGTCTACAGGACTCGATGGTGTACCACTGGTGGTTCAACAGCTCCGCTCACTCGAAGCACGAGCTCACGACAACTCCTGCGTCAACTTCGCAGAGCAATCCTGGTGAGTAGTTTTTTTACCTGAATGCGGAGAGAAATGTTTTTCAAGCGTATGTTTATGTATGTCCATTTCTTTATAAAAAAAATCATATAGAACATCTCATATAAAAAAAGTAGTTTTTAATAATTCCTGTTCCTGTCACTCTGTCGTCTCTCTGTCTGTCCGTATGTCACGGGTCTTGGTATATTATGTAAAATGCTTGCCCAAAGGCGTATCAGGTATTAATTTTTATTTAGTTAAAAGTTCAATTAAATTATTTTTCATACATAAAAGGGGACGAAAATATTTTTTTTCTTCTTTACCCAGCATTTGACACCTCATTGTCCAAAGCTCGTTGTGTGAGATAGAAATGTAATTTTTAATTATTTTTATTTAAAGCAAAAGAAATGGTGGGCCATCAAAGTTGTAATTTTTAGACCATTTATAGAACTGGGTTATTTGTGTTTTTTTTTATTCCTTTGACAATGTCGGCCATCAGGGCCGCAGTAGCATAATGGTCAGTGCATTCGCCCGGATAGCGAAGGGTGCGGGTTCGAATCCCGTCTGCTGCCTGGTGCGCGTATTTTTTTTTGTTACATGTTAAGATATCATAAACTAACTAATACTAACTAAGCCCTTATTCGCACGACAGACAGTGTGTGTGATGTGTTTTTGTGCAAAAAAACACAGTTCGGACGCTGTAATTATTTTGATGTCTACAATGCCACTGCCGAAATTCGAAGAAGTGCAGGGTAGCATGTAAACATACAATTTTCTCCAACTTGCTGCAGCAGTATTTACGGAATACGGTATTTGACAAGTTTTAGAAAACGATCTCACGTTATTGACTAATGTTTATGGAATCCGTAAAAAGTGGATATTCATCATTCTGTTGTGTATTTTAGTAAAAATAACCAAATCAAAAACTCCATTTTCAAGTTGCCGCGAAAACGTTTCTTTGGATAATATGGCATCTTACTAGTGTGTGACGTCACACAACTGTTATTAAAACGTCAAACGATACAATGTAATGTCACTTTAACCGGAAGTTTACTTGCGTGTGACGTCATTTTAGGCTTCGCCAATCCCAAGCGTTTTGGGTCACGTGACAATAGATAAGAAAACTATTATCTGTTTCGTGGGTTTTTAGTAAAATTATGAATATTTTTTTTTGTAAATAAGTAAAAACCACTGCCAATATTCATTCTAAGCACAGACGCTAACAATTGGCACTTTATTTTTAATACTGTCAAATACCCTATTATTACCGCGAGAGGCAGAGGCAACAGCTAAATGTAAATGTAGCTTTGACGTAGACAGACAGAGAAAAGTAATTGAAATCATGACGCATGTAAACGCGCCAAACCAATAAACACGTTTGTCGTCATAGATTCTCCTAAAAGAAAGGCAAAGGTTACGAAGTACATACAGATCTACCTCCAATAATACTTACTTTTTTATTTTCATTTGAAATACGACGTGAAACTTGTATCGAATAATCTTTCCCGCGAACTCCGGCGAAGTGCCGAAAACTCATTTAATTGTTTTAGAGTACCGTACCTCAACTGGAAAAAACGGAACCTTTTTAAGATTACTCTATAGTCTGTCTGTCCTTTTTGTGTTAAAAGGGTGGCAAATCAGCCTTATGGTCCGCATGATGGTAAGCGGCCACCATAGCCTATAGACGCTTACAAAAAATATCACTCGAATTTTATTCTGTTATTATTATTTTATGTTTCTATCAGTACCTATATGCATAGTTTATTCTCATTTAAATATATATTTATATGTAGGTATTAATGTTTTGTATGTATTTTACATAATATATGTATTGTTAAGTTATTTAATATTTTGCTGGCACATTACTCCTCTATCTCTGTTAAACTATCCTTACACTTAAAGGTTGTCTGGAAGAGAGCGCTTTCAGTGATAAGACCGCCTTAACCCATCATAGTTTACTATCTGTTTTGTAAGCCCTTTAATAGGGTATTTGACAAGTTTTAGAAAACGATCTCAAGTTATTTACTAATGTTTATAGAGTCAATAAAAAGATATTCTTCATTATGTTGTGTATTTCGGTAGAAAAAACTAAATCAAAAACTCTATTTTCAAGTTGCAGCGAAAACGTATATGTGGACAATATGGCATCTCACATGTGTGAGACGTCACACGACTGTCATTAAAACGTCAAACCATATAATGTAATGTCACTTTAATTGGAAGTTTACTTGCGTGTGACCAGGGCCGGATTTAGAGGTCCAGAGGCCTCGGGGCAACAGAGGAGCGGAGGCCCCCTCACCCCAAAATATTTTCCAAATAAAGTAAACAATATTTTTTCAGTCGAGTTGTTCAATAAATAATTTATTGTGAACCAAGTAGATTCCCTTAGTATTGAACAAACACATATAAATATAAACGGAAACAAGAATTATCTGAAATTAAATCTTAGAGTTAACGAACGGAACCGAAAAGATGTTTACTAGTGTTTACTAGTTGGAATTTGAAAGATTTTTTTTTCCGAAGTCTCTATTGTGGGGGCCCCCCGTTTGTGGAGTCCCCGGAGCTTTCGCCCCGGTTGCCCTCCCCTAAATCCGGCAGTGCGTGTGACGTCATTTTAAGCTCGACCAATCCCAAGCGTTTAGGGTCACGTGACAAGAAAAGTAATATCTTTATCGTGGGTTTTTAGTAAAATTATGAATATTTTTTCTGCAAAAATTGTAAAAACTCGTGCTAATCTCTTATCTATTAGACAAGTCCGTCCGTCCGTCCGTCCGTGGTGCTGTTTCAGCGGCCAAACCGTAAGAGATAGATAAAGAGAATGTTTAAGTTACAAGTTAAGAATAGTCTGATAAGACTACAAACCGGATTTGAGTAACGTAGCACTTCCGGTTTTCGAGAAATCACGTGATTTCTATTTCAAACGAAACCACACAAAATCTCCGAAGTTCTCAATTAATTAAATACATTTTTTTTTTGGTGAACATTTGGTTCACTGGTTTGCTAGTATTCATTCTAAATACAGATGCTAACAATTGGCACTTTATTTTTAATACTGTCAAACACCCTATTGTGTATGTGTGACTAATAAAGAGTATATCTATCTATCTCGCGCTGTTGCCTATCCTGACCCAATCCCCTACTCCGTGGAGCCCTGGACCGTCTGTCTAGTGTTCAACGCGTAGAGGTAATGAGTTGAAATGGAAATCGTATTTTCAGATTTACGGTCCCTTGAAGCTCTAAAAAGCCTTCTAAGTTAACCTAAAAAAATATGGGTGCGTGTACTTAAGTACGCGCGTGAGAAGTTATACTTCTTTTTGGAATTATTAAAAAATAGTTTTTAATTGCATGCAGATAATTAATTACAATAAGATAATAAAAGGATTGGAAAAGGATAGTCAACGCAGTCAATAAAATTCAGTTTTAATTTGAAAAATTTAATAAATAATCAAAATATTCAATTTAAATCACTACTGAATAAAATTTATTAGCACATATAAATTTCGCATTTGTATAACATTATAACACGTGTTAAGAATATAGAAACTAGAAACATGTGGATAAATATTATAAATATGAAAACAGTGATCAGAGGCGACGAGCGTCCCAACATGTGCGACTAAGAGATCCTATTACTATTTTGTTGGAAGCTTTTTTTCGAGACTTACGAGTAATGTGCGGTTTAGCGGCCGACTTCATGGTGTTACTTTTCTGTTACAGTGTTGCGCGCCCATCTTAAAATTTCACTCTCATCATTTTTTCATAACGCGCCCGCGGCTAACTTCATTATGTTACTTTTGTGTTACAGTGATGCGCGCGCATCTTAAAATTTCACTCTCATAATTTTTTCATAACGCGGCTAAAGAAGTATAACTTCAAAAAAGATACGACCGTTTATGTTGCGTACCTACAAATTTGTACGGAACCCTCTGTAGGCGAGGCCAACTCGCACTTGTCCGGTTCTTTCTCTGTGCTCTGTGTCAAAAATGATATACGCACGTTATCCATTAGCGTCATTTCCCATCGGAATGACGCTCCTCCATCCCGGATTCATGTCACGAGACTCCAGGAAACTGCAATCATTAATGTATTACTTTTGTGTTAGAGATGAAAGCTGAAATATGAAATACTCAGGTAGGTAAAGGTAAGTATTGCAATGGGAATAGCGAAATCCGTGTTGGACATCTAATAAAATCGTAAATAGAAGGAGAAAAATAGGAAATTTTCATCTGTGGTGATATGTGCGTGCTAATGAGCAAACAGTCGAAATCGTCAAAGTCATTGCGATGTAAATTAATGTTATTGAAAGTTCAAATCCGGTACAGTGTAACATACATGTACATGTATATATATACATACATATACAATATATACAGGTATGTACAATTACATATTTCATTTACTACGTATAAGAGAAAGAAAATAAAAAGCTTTCTCTTGCTTATATTCCCCACTTAACTTCCGTTCGTCTCGCCTGATCACACATTACGTAATGCGTTCGCCAGCTTACTCCCCAAGTCATAAGTATATATATATATATATATATATACACATACAGATATAGCTAAAGAAGTTTCACTTCAGTCGTGTGGTCATAAGCACACTCGTTTTTGTGAGACAGCTACGTTTGCCCCTTCGAAAATTTAATTTTTAACACTTTATATGAGACCATTTATTCTATTGTGAGAGTGTCTGATAGTATCTGTTTCTACTCATATGATATAGTTATTTAAAGTTATCGAACTACACGTCCCAACACTAATGTAAAAATAAAAATATATATTTATCCCCCCATGTCACTTTAAGTTAATTAAAAGCGAATGGAACTCTAATATAGAGCATTGAAGTACAAAATTAGTAACATTAAATTGGGTCTAACGTTTACTGTTACTTTGAGAATTATACATATAAAAACAAAGATATACGGATACGGATGGATGCTACATTTACCCCGGATCGGGGGCAAATGTAGCTATTGGCAGCTTTACATGGAAAATCTTCAATTTAAAATAAATTTATTTACTTTGTATCAATTTGAAAATCTCGTCTAAGTTATCATGAATACATGTGTAATATAAAAAAAAAATATTGTATTTGGTAAATTGTATTTTAATAATGTAACAATATTAAAGTCACAAGCTACAATTGCCCTGGGTGACCCTACTAGTTTATTTTCCAATATATTTGTCAAAGATCCCTTGATCCAACTTATCTACATACTACATACTAGGTAATATTATAGTAATTTTTATTATTAGCAGGATTGCTACCATGTACCTTTTTTTTTTGTTACCATGTACCTAAAAACAAGGTACATTGTAAAATCCTTCTAATATCAAATGTTACTATAATGCTAGTTACCATGAAGGTTTCAAAAAATATATTCCTATGTAAAGTTTTAGGTACATTGTATGTTTTGTCAACAGGTACTTTCACTTACATGGTGAACACATCGTCGGACTACGGCTGGGTGCAATGTTCGGGCACCAATCCTGTCGGCCGTCAGACCAAACCCTGCCTCTTCCACATATTACCTGCTGGTAAGGTTCATCATTAAATCAGCCTATTAATGTCCCCACTGCTAGCATGCACGCACCATGCTTTTGGATGGCATAGGAAGATTGGGCCGTGATGACCTATCACGCGGGCCCAGTGCGGATTGGTGGGTGCTAACGACTGCAGATGCACCCGGAACCAACGGCCTAACGTGCCTTCCGAAGTACGGAGGTACTCCAAATAACAGGTTTTTGTTCACCCATCCAATGACCGACTAATTTTTTCTTCGTTTATCAGGTAGATTATCAAAAAGTATTGGACACGTATTTTTTCATTTTTCACAAAATATAAACATTGCAGATATATATTGATTTGAATAGTCGCATGACGTCACGTTTTGGTACAATTTTCACTTAAAAGTGACGTCACGAGCCTTTACTTCCAAACTTTGACGCGCTTTATCTTTGTAATTTTTTGTTTGATTGCCCAAATAAAAAATACGTCTCCATTATTTTTTGATCATCTAACTGACGGACTAAATAGAATTTCGTTTACTTTACCCCGTCATCATGCCTATTGCGAAAGATTTTAACGTCCACGATTGCAAGACGAACACGCTATCTGCAACATAGGATCAGGTAAGATCATAGCTAATAAATAAATGTCTTGAGTTTCTATTGGTATTAATGAGGTTCTAGGGCCCCACGGAGCCAGGTGGAGATTGGGACTGCAAAATTTTCTGCTCGATCAAACATCTTCGTGATGGAATTCCAATTACACTTAAAATCAAGTGGGGTCCTCTAAATTGCTACGCTCTGACAAACAAAAAATATTCTGAATTAGTTTTATTTACATTATGCGTTGTTTATGTAAGCTGTCCGTATTCCACCAACAACGCCACAATTCCACAAACTAGATATGCTCCCTGAACTTTTACTAACCCAGCAGAGTTTTTGGGAGCATGCCAACTTTCTACACAATTTGAAACTAGTGCCAATAAGGAACTATCTAGTGCTTGCTCATATGGTGGTCTACTTTGCTTTTAGTTTTATTCTGTAAATATTCTCTAGATATTCCCTGTACAAATTTAGTCGTATGTCGGTTGCGTTGTGTTGCTTTGCTCTACGAATTTGATTAAGAAAACAGGAAGTCTACCACGTTGCTATAGGTATGTTTTCGCATAAACTTGATCTAAAGTTTGACTTTAGAAACTCTTTTTATATGAGGTACTAGCAGACGCCCGCGACTTCGTCCGCGGTTTTTGAAAATCCTTCAGAAACCTTCCCATTTCCGTGATAAAAAGTATTCTATGTCACTGTCCAAGTCATAAACTATATGCGCACCAAATTTCATTCAAATCCGTTCAGTAGTTTCTGCGTTATTGATTTACAAACATACAAACTTTCACATGTATAAGTTTTAGTAAGAATATAGATTGTATAAAAATACCGCGTATCTAGCGAAGCCTATGCTAAACCTTAACTTATCAATTTTTTGTACATAGTATTCATACATAAATTTAAAGGAAAAAGGTCCATCGAAATACACCGGAAAGAGCGTTTTATTGATTAGAGATACTTCATAAATCATTTGCTATACCGGGATTCAAACTAAGATCACAGATTAGGAGACACCTTGAAAACCGACGTCCACGGAGATGATTCCCAATTTAAAATTCACCTTTTTTTGTTCACTTTGCCGCAGACAAGCCGTCATCGGTGAAATCGTGTGAGATCACAAACGTGACCTACGACGCACTCACGTTGAACTGCACGCCGGGCCACGACGGTGGGATACGGCAGGCTTTCCTTCTCCAAGTAAGTGATGCATCGTCTTGTCAGCATTACGATATCCATTTTGATGAACACAGGTCTGTTGCAATTAAATATGTGAAAAGGTCACACATTTGTATTTATCATCAGCCTAATAATGTCCCCACTGCTGAGACATAGGCCTTCCCTATGGATGGCGTAGGGAGTTCCACCATGCCAAGCAGTGCTGATTGGTGAGTAACGACTGCAGATGCAGTCAGGACAAACGGCTTAACGTTTTTTCTATTGAGAACGAAGCCTGAGAAATGTATAAAAGTATTAAAAAACGAATCGAAAACTGTATAATTTATATTTCAAAAATTGTTCTCAAAACTCGGTGAAAAAGAAAATCCGGTGCTTTTATAATTTTTTCGTTACACATCTACTGCTTCGTTATTATCGAAGCAGTGTGTAACTTCGTAGCCATAATGTACTAAAAACAAATATCGCATATAGGTGCCTATGGGGGGGGGGGGGGGGGGTGTAGCCTTACACTTTGAGTATGCCATAGGTAGGATAGGTTCTTCACCTATCATACTCACCTCATTGCGCAACGTAAGGGCTGCTGCGTTCCAAACCTATGCACTGAGTGAAACTTTTTAACCTGACGTTTAAATTTCGACATAAAGTGTATGAAGCTTATGTCAATTTTGACATTTGTTACACCTGGAGCGTAGGTTTGGAATGCCGCCGCCCAGAACAAGCCACCTACGTCCCATACCTAAGACTAAATATAATATGGTACATGGTCTCTTCTTCTTCTATACGGTGGATGTTCTCCGCAACTCGACACCAGGTGCCTATTTTGCGTGAGTGATGGCTGATTGCTTTAGTCATGCCATCCCAGTTCCCCCAAGAATCTCAGCAGTCTCTGGGTGTCCCCGCAGGCCCCGAGCAGCTCTGCGGGTTGCCCAGGTCTATCATCCGTTGTCTGGTCACGCCTTTTCACTGTAGCAGGACGTGAGTGCTCGTCACCTCCTTCTCCATGCAATCTCTGCACAGAGGACTTTCCAAGACACTTATTTTAAAGAGATGTTTATTAAAGTGTCCATGTCCTATGAGAATGCTCACAATTTGTTTTAAAGCGTGTCTTGGAAGCTTGCAAAACTTATTTGCTAGCCGCGGGTCTCAAGTTACATGGTAAACATTTGGGAACCAAAATATCTTTCGGCACTTTTGAAAGCCTTAGATTAAAACAAAAAAGGAAATTACGGCACTCGCGGCTCAAAAGTGATCCGCTTAATATTTTATATTTACTTATATTGTGTATATTCTGTTGTGTATATAAAGATAAAACAATGCCTTCGATGTTTTTATAAAGAACATAAATAGTTGAAAATCAAATAACAAATGCTTCGGCAGATGGCGCTGCTAGCCATGTAAACATCGGCTGCGTACAAAAGTTTAATTTAAAAATACAAAAACAAGTGATTTCTATCAAGTAAAGTAATAATTATTTAAAAGTGAGCATAAATTGTACCGTTTATTGTTTGTGGAAGTTTTCATACGGTAACTTCGACATAAAAGTGAAAAAACTGCAACAGTGAAAATGTGTGATAAGTGCAAAGTTTGTACAGATAATAAACCAAAATAAACGAAAATAACTAATGCAAGCGTTAAAAGGATTCACACTTATGGGTGGATAACTTATTAGAATAGACATTGAAACAGTTTTGTGAAGTTAAAACATAAACGCTATTTGTGAAGAAGGTAGTTTAACTTCCAGTATCGGTTTCAAATCAATCGTCACTAACGGACTTAACAAACGTAATATAACACATGAACTGATACTAAATTTCGTCAATAGTCTTCAAGCCTAGTTGGAACAGTGGATAAGGCATTGCGCCGACACCCAGAGATCGACTGTTCAAATCCTCAGCGAACCAATACTTTTTTTAATAGGAATTGTTTTTCATTATAATATTCTACATATTTGTAAAATGAATTCCGAGAACATTACATTAGTCCAGTCAGTATTGTCGCGAAATCCGTTTTTCCTCAAACAGCTGGAACTATGCTAAAAAGTTTCTTAAGATAGTAAAGAACACTTTACATAGAGAAAAAAATGTTTCCAACCCCGGGCAAGGGTGAAAACCACCCTTAATAATCTATTTTTCCAATTATCTCAAAAAGTATACGAGATACGGAAAAAAACTTCAAATGAAAATTGTAGATCTTTTTGAAATCTACAAAACATTATTCCACCCTCTTGCCCCTATTTTCAATAGGGGAGCCAATAATCGAAGTCAAAGATTCAATACTTAAAAAGTTAAAGTTAGTTAAAAAAGTTATGATGGCACTGCGAGTAGCGTACCAAATATCTCATTAGATGGCGATAGTGATGAAAACGAACAAATACAGACATTAAAAAAACAGATAGACAAACTAAATATTGATTTGGTGTTGGCTAAGGAAGAAATAAATAACCTGTCATTGGAAAATAGAAATCTAAAAACGGTTTTACAAGAAAAAAACTCAAATGAAAGTACTAAAAAAACAAATGGCCAAAGTAATAAAATCATTAATATTTCCTCTACTCCAAGAAGGGCAAGCAGTAATATTTTTTCACCGCAATCATCGGATATAATTATAGACAAAATAGAAAAGGAGAAACAAACTCACAAAAAAAATTGTAATGATACAGCCGTGATAAGCAAGCGAATCAGACCTAGTAAACATTTTTCTAAAAAAATTTGCTTTGTTAGTAGCAATAATAAGAACAGAATACTGGATATCGCAGAGACTTCTTTCCAAGATCATCGCATATTTCATTATATAACACCGAATTGTGGTATCCAGAAGATGATTGAAAACCTAGAAAATAAATTAACAGAGTACACAATGGAAGACTATTGTATCATATTAATCGGTGAAGAAGATTTCTTAACCACTCTTAATTATTTTGAAATTGTTATTCAATTGCGATAGACATTACAAAATCTAAATCATACTAATATTATATTATGTGCTCCAACTTATAGATGTAACGAATACTCTAAAATGTTTAACTGTAGAATTGAAACATTTAACAATATATTAAGTTTTGACATATTTTCGCATAAATACGCTTATATTTTGGACTCTAATTTAGAATTATCTTACGATTATGACATGTTTTCACACAATGGTAAATTGAATAATAAAGGCATGGAAAATATATTTGACAATTTAAAAAAAAAAATTTGACATTGAAATTTACAATAGCAGGGATGTAATTTGTCAGAGCGAGGCCATGCAAACACGATCAGCTACAAATAACAATTTTTTTCTCTCCTTAAAATCTGTACTTCTCTAGAATTACTTTAAATATTTTACATCAAAATATAGCTGGATTATTAAGCAAGTCTGATTCACTTGTTGTCTGTTTAGAGGAACTATCTGAAAAGAATGTAAATGTTGACGTAGTGTGTGTAACGGAGCACTTTATTATGGCCGGCTATGAAAAATTTCTATCCGTCTCCAATTACCAGTTAGCTTCCCACTTTAGCAGAAAAAACTCTAAGCGAGGCGGAGTTTGTATTTTAATTAAAAATGCCATCAATGGAAGGCATTACCCAAGGTAGCAGAGCTTTCATTGCCGGGTATATTCGAGTGTTGTGCGATGGAATTGGTACTCCATAGGACTGCAATAGTATGCATCTATAGGGTTCCTAAAGCGGCACATGTGAATGTTTTTTTCTCCAAGATGGACCAATTACTATCGCTCCTAAGTAGGAAAAAATTCAGTAATATTATAATAGCGGGTGATTTTAATATCGATGTTTTAAAAAGAAACAGTATGACATTAGAGTTTCAATGTCTACTTTTGAATTATAATCTTAAATTGGCGTTGAAAGAGCCGACTAGATTGATAAGTAAAACGTGTATTGATAATTTTGCTCATAACTTCCCAAAGACTTGCAGGACGGAGGTGCTAGAGTTAGCTTTATCTGATCATACCGCACAACTATTAACTTGTCCAGTAAAAAATGTACCTGTAATTAAATTTTGGCGTAAGAAATATAGAGATTTTTGCATCGAAAATATTTCAAAATTTAGGGATTGCCTCATGAGGTTATCGTTCTCAGAAGTATACGACACAGATGATCCAAATGCTGCATTTTCTACCTTCATGGATTATTTTAAGTTGTTTTATGATCTTTGCTTTCCATTTAAATTAATTACCATATTCGTTACAAGGAAACCTAAATGGGTCTCCAAGGGTGTTAGATTATGTAGTAAGAAAAAAAGACGCCTACTATGGAATTACAGACTTAAGCCAACAAAAACTAATAAAGAGATATTCATTAAATATAACAAATTGTATAAGAAAATCATTCGACTCACGCAGCGTGCACAGAACGATTTTCTTATAAAAAATTCTAAAAATAAATCTAAATCTACTTGGTCAATTATAAATAACACCAGGCTTAATATCCCTAAAGATCATATCTTAGAAATCAGTGACAACGACGAAATGATTTGTAATCCAGAACAAATAGCTAATAATTTTAATAATTACTTCATTAACAGAATAACTCCAGCATCGGTCTCTAGTACATATGGAACCTTTACCTTAGAAAATACAAGAGATTCTTTTTTTATGGCACCTAGTGTACCAAAAGATATTCTACTCATTATAAAGAACTTGAAAAACACTAATAGCGAGGGACATGATGGCATATCGACTAAGATAGTTAAGTCAGTTGGAGATCTGATAAGTGGACATTTAAGTTTTATTATTAATTTGAGCATTCTTTCTGGTATATATCCAGACATGCTTAAAACATCTATAGTTAAACCATTGTTCAAGAAAGGAAACAGATTATTGATGAATAACTATAGACCGATTGCTCTTAATCCAGTTATGTCGAAAATTTACGAAAAATATATCTATAAAAAAATGTATACGTATTTGGAACGAAAAAATATTTTTTGCCAAGAACAAAATGGTTTTCGTCAAAATAAAAATATTAACAAAGCTTTATTTGAATTTCTAAATAATGTAATATCTAATATGGACAAAAGAAACCCTATTTCTGCAATATATTGTGACATGACACAAGCTTTTGACCACGTAAAATATGACATTTTATTAAAAAAACTTGACGCATATGGCATTAGGGGAAATATATTGAAACTAATTGAAAGTTATTTAGTCGATAGAAAACAGTATACTGTCATCTCACAAATTAATCCTAAATCTGGTTTGGAAGAACATTACTGCTCAGAAACGCGCATAGTTAAATATGGAGTGCCTCAAGGGAGTACGTTGGGTCCATTGTTTTTCAATGTTTATATAAATGACCTACCTAAATCAGTGAATTGTCCAATTACTCTTTTTGCTGACGACAGTACTTTGACTATTCCGTGTAACGATCCTGACATTTATGAATATGACATTAAAAATTCTTTGACATCAGTTATTTCGTGGTTAGATAATAATAATTTAAAAATAAATCTTGAAAAGACCCAATTAATGACATTTAAGCAACGATAAATAATGATCGACCTCTAAAAATTGATTATCAGAATTTTGACATATGCGAAGTAGAAAGTGCCAAATTTCTAGGTATTATGATTGATTGTAGATTAAATTGGAAATCTCATATAGAATACCTTAGTAAGAAAGTCAGTTGTGCGGCCTATGCGTTATTTAAATTGTCTTCTTTATTGAACACCTGATGCCCTGCTTACCGCATATCATGGTGTATCTGCGTCAATTCTGAGATACGGTATTATCTTCTGGGGGAATTCTACTGATAAAGACACAGCATTTAAAATGCAAAAAAGATGCATAAGAGCAATGTTTGGTTTAAAAATAACGGACAGCTGTAAACCGTATTTCTTAAAACATAAAATTCTGACACTTCCGTCTATGTACATTTTTGAGGTTTTAATATTTGTAAAAGATAACATGCATCTTTTCGTTAAAATGGCAGATGTTATAGATCGCAATAGACGCGATAATAGTAGGTTGTGCATGCCAAACTCGAAAACAGCTCTTATGGGAAAAAACATATTCTGCATGGCCCCTCGAATATATAATAAACTCCCGACATATAAAAAAGAATTAAATTTTAATTTATATAAGAAGAAAATTAAAAATATATTATTAGATAAATGTTATTATGATGTATCGGAATTTTTAAATGACAAATTTTGAATTATAATTATGTTTTATTATTATTATTTCTATTTTGTGATTAATTTTGACATTTTATTATTGAATTGGAATCATTTGAATTTGACATGTTTTATTATTGACATATTTTGACAAATTTTGAATTGTAATTATGCTTTTATTATTATTATTTCTATTTTTTGATTAATTTTGACATTTTTTTTATTGAATTGGAATAATTTGAATTTGACATGTTTTATTATTGAATATTAAGATTTTTGACTTAGAATTTAAATAACTTAATGAATTTGTATGCCCATAGCGGCACGACATGTTATGCACCCATAAAATCATAACATCTTACTTACACATGTTGTTCAAATAAATATTTTCTTTCTTTCTTTCTTTCTTTCTTTTTTTCTTTCGGCAACACTTCATTCAAATTTTTGAGACCAAAATGTTTTTAAAACTTTAAAATCACGGTTTGTAGTGAATGTTATTTACGTAATCGCCATTTTGTTATCAAGAAAAGGACAACAATACAGCTCAGCCGTACGGACACGAAAGCTCGCCGTTTCGCTCGCGCTGCGTATAAGCGTACAGATCTGTCTCGCTCTCTCTCTATTGAATGTTTATATACAGACGTGTGCATGTGTGAGAGTTGCTTATGTAGTTGAATCGGATTATATTTTATTTTATGTTGGTATGAGCGTAACATGGCGCTTTCAAAGTGCTGAAATATCGGAGACTCGCTAAAACGAGGTAGGTAAATAATTTACTGAACCTTCTGTCTTCGTTCTTTGTCACAGGTATTCGACATGGCGACAGGTCTTCTACTACGCAACGTGAGCAGCGAACTGCCCGAGTTTGAAGTGTCAGGGTTGTCGGAGAGCGTGTCGCTCGCAGTCTCCGTCAGGGCTTTCAACAGGAAGGGATCCAGCGAACCGCTTACCTTGACGTCTAGTTTATTGAAGTATCCGCAAAGACATACGGGTGAGTTGTAAACCCACTTGCTCCTACTGCATCTGAACCGATAGAATGAATTGTAAACCATAATGATATTAATATAAGCAGGGAAGCCTAATTACAGGCAAAGCTATACTATTCTATCCATGGTTAGCTAACTACATATGCAGGGTCTAGTTTTCATTAAAAAAGTGATGGTGTGAAGTTGTAATGCTGCTGAACATTGCACAAGTACTCCACAGCTAAGGTTATCATTAAGAAATTGGATAAATATTGCCAAAAATCAGGACTTTACAATACTTAAATTTTATTGCCAGCAAATATTATCTCATTGTGTGTGGGTTGCGAATATATAAAGTAAATACCAACTTACCAACCTGGAGAAAAAACGGACATGCACAGATAATTATGGATTTATGGGAAACCTCTTAACAGAAGTGTTGGTTTTAAAGACATGACGGTATGTTTATTGTAAATTTTATTATTTTAAAGTATGTCTTATTCATTATTATTGGTACGTAATTGCCTTATGCACTTTTTTCCATTTAATCTAAAATTGGGTATGCATAATCTCACACTCCTTCATGTGCAAAATGTGCTTATTTCCTTCATGTATTTGAAACATATAATAATGTGTGGCATGTAGATATCGCCGCTACAATGTTGATTGATAGTTACAGTATTATGATTATTATTTTTTAAGCATGTTACTGCTCGATGTTTAAATCTAAAGAAAATATTACTAGAAAAAAATCCACGCGGGCCAGGCAGCAGATGGGACTCGAGCCATTATGCTACCGCAGCCCTAATGGCCGTGTTGAATTCTTTCTAGCCTTTCGTAAGCTGCATCTCTTCGCATTGTAGACATAGTTACAGCATTATTTACCCCTTTCTCTTGTCACCAGCCCAAGTCCCAGTAAAAGTGGAACTGACAACAGTGCTCATCATCGTGCTGATCACAGTAGGGGTGATAGCAGCCATGACAGCTGTCTCCGCCGCTGTGTTCTGCTGCCGGCATTGTAGTAAGAGAAACAGTAAGTTACCTTAGCATTCATCATCATCAACAGTCTATTAATATCCCTACTGCTGATAGGTCTTCTGTATGACATTCAAAATTCATTTATTCAGTTTAGGCTTTTACAAGCACATGTTAAAGTCGAAAGCTACGCCATCTGTTCGCAAATCTACGGCGGGAGACCTTGTACTGAGAGGAACCGACAAGAAACTCAGCAAGGGCTGCTTTTTTCTCCCTGGATTATTTCATACAGTGTCGTCAAATTGAAAGCTGACATCAAACTTATAATCATGTATTGAGGTCAACTTCCATACATATTCCATATAATGTAAAAAAGGTAACAATCAGTATACAAAAGCCCCGAAATATCCAGTAAACCGTTTTCAAAATACATGAGCAAGTTTAAAAAAGACACTAAGTGCAAGATTCTCTTCAATACTCCTCTTAAGGAAACAAGTATAATATAACTTTGAAAATTTTCTGAAGTTATGGGTAGCGAGAACAGGTAATAACGCAATTAGCGCGTTCGATAAGCGATTTTGGAAGTTACGCATTTTTTGCAATGGCCTGTCATGGAATGAGTGACCATGGTTTTATTATCTCTTAACTCCTTGCTTCGAAGGGCATGTCAATCGTCGGTCCCGGTTGCTTCTGAAGTCATTGGCACTCGCCAATTGGCAATGGCCTGCGTGGTGGTTCTTCAATCCATAAGGAAGGCCTGTGCCCCCGCAGCGAGGACATTAATAGACTGTTGAATGATGATTAAATATTATCACACGCTTCACTTCAACATTACTGTTTTTGGAATTGAGAAATGAATTATACTTCAGTTCAATGTCCTCGACATTTAATTAACCTTGTAGTGAGCCTTGCTACGAAGAACCATCGTCACACGTTTAGAAAGAATATTAAAAAAATATCTCTATGTCATCTGTCACCATCTGTCAAGTCGTAATAAGGCTCACGTAAAACTTATATAAAAAAAAATAGTAAGGCTCACTATAATGTCTTCGGACATTGAACTTCTAGACCAGGGTCGATAATTTTAAAAATGGTAAAAAGTGAAAAAAAATAAAGTAGGATGAAACCCATTGGAAAAGGTAGAGAATATAACAAAAGTTTAAGGAAAAATAAATTACGGGTGATCTGAGGTCGGGAAGGGGGAGGGGGTGAGTGTTTAAGGGTAAAAAGCGGTTAATCTCGATTTCCGGGAAAACTGAAAGTCCCATGAAAAAAATTTAAATGGCAAAGTTGTAGGTAATAAAAACATCTACAACTTTTGTATCGACACTTTTTTCACATAACCTCAAAATTTATGTGAAAAATTCGAATAACCGAGTTTTTGGATTTTTATTTTTATTTTATGCAAAAAAAATATTTTTTTAACGAAATTTAGTGAACAGTTTCTGAGAACATTTACCATAGTAGTGTATATTGTTTTTTATACCATCAAAGAGTAGAGATTTCAACAAACAAAAAACACACCACCTTTTTTAAAAAAGCAGATATTTTGACGTGAGAATTTTCGATTGAAAATTAGGGTGCCTTTTCGATATTAATTCAAAATAAGATGAAAAAATGAATATTTTATATCAAAAAAATTACTATACTATGTTTGGGACATACAAAGGTAAGTTTTCACTAAGTTTCGTGAAAGATTTTTTTTTTGCAAAAAATAAAAATAAAAAACTAAAAACTCGGTTATTCGAATTTTTCACATAGATTTTGAGGTTATGTGAAAAAAGTGTCGATACAAAAGTTGTACATCTTTTTATTACCTACAACTTTGCCATTTAACTTTTTTTTCATAGGACTTGCAGTTTGACCGGAAATCGAGATTAACCGGTTTTTCCCTTAAAAACTCACCCCTCCCCCTTCCCGACCTCAGATCGCCCGTAATTTATTTTTCCTTTCATTTTTGTTATATTCTCTACCTTTTCCAATGGGTTTCATCCTACTATAATTTTTTTTGGTCTCAAAAATTATCGACCCTGGTCTATTCGTATAATTGTGGTTGAACTTCACTTTCAGGTAAGTTCCTTTTACCACTAATTCTTTTAAACTTTCGTGGTCACTATATACTAACATAATAGTAATTCATGTTACTTGTATCTACGCGATAGTTACCATGTACCTTGTGAATATCGGAAACTCGCTAAAACAAGGTACATGGTAACAATTCCGTAAATGACATAAATTAATATAATGTTGAGAAATGAATTTCTTAATTACGTTCAATCAACAGGTAAAAACGAAAAAGACAAAAGGCATCAAGATGAAACATCCAACATACCACTCACTGGAAGCAAAGAGACGGAAAGTGTTGATAGCTTAGGTAAGTTCAGCATTTTTTTTTTCATTGTTACTTATTATACATAATTGTACGATCAAATCGTACATTTTGCTAGCAAAGCATTTTTAACCGCAAGTAATTATTTAGGTCAATATTTTACTGTTTAAATATATTTCATAATCACGCACTTTCAAGTTTAATAATAAATATTTTCGACAAGTTTATCAAGTGTTTTCGTGTCTTCAATATCTAGAAATTGCAATTCAATGTACTGAGTTAACAAGGGCTCGTATAATAATGATATAGTAGTTTTATTTATATAAAACCGTGTAGTTATAAATGCAGTCTCGGCCACTAAGTAGTCCTAAAATAAAATAAAACCTTGCCAAATACAAATGCTATTGAAAATTATTATTTTTATAATTCCTAATATTGGAGTCACCTGTCACAGGCATTATTTGCTTCATCATCACCAGCCTATTAATGTCCCCAATGCTGGGGCATAGGCCTTCCTTATGGATTGAATAGGGAGATTAGGCCATGACCCACCACGCGAGCCCAGTGCGGATTGGTGGGTGCTAACGGCTTAACGTGCCTGCCGAAAGACGGAGGAGCTCGAGATAGTAAATTTTTGGCCACCCATCCAATGACCGACCACTTGCTCAATAGGTGGCTTCAAAGCACTTGTATAGAATGTAACCAAACCAATGTTAGAGAAATAAATAATTATTATAATGTTATTATTATTAAATTTAGTTTATAATTTATAAAGTTAAATTATTAGTTCGGATGTGGTGGTAAAAAAGGATCAATAAGGATATCATTTTTTGTATAGAAATATTTAACTGTAAACTAAAAAGTAGTAATGATGTAATGAAAGAAAGATGTAATGTATAGTTACATTACATCTTTCACGGTTTCACTATGTATGTTTTTTTATTTTTTTATGTTATAGGGGGCATACGATGTATGTTAAGTAATATGACTTATTTCAGGATTTGCCAAACAACTTTTATTCCTACTTTCAGACAAAAACCCGGATATTATCCCATTAGACGGGAAAATAAGCGACAGCTGCTCAAACAAATCTTCAACGACAGACTACAGTTCGATACGACCACTAATATCCAAAACTACAAACGACAAATACGACATCCCACCGAACTGCGACAGATTTTATGACCATTCAATAGACGGTTGCAACCAATACATACAAGTCAGGCCAATAGAGTATAGAGTGAGGCCGACATACCAACCGGGGTTGGCGCCAATGCCCAACCTTGGACCAAGTATACAGAGCTTGGGGCCAATGAGTAGTTTGGGCCACGTGCCCAATATTGGTCCAAATGAATGCCACAGACCGTACGACAAGGTTTACGAAGACTGGTTGAAGTATAAGAACGCTTTGCCGCTCAACACCAGTGGATTAGTAAGTTAATAAATATAACTTTTATTATGATTGACATAAGGTCTATATTGCGATATTTTTATTGCTAGAATAATCTAATTTCAATGACTTATTACGAGGTTATTTTGATTTGTAAGTTAATTAAACCTTCTTTTTGGGATTGGAAATTGGTTGAAAATTTACAGAAACAAAACTGTGTACTGATGATTTTAGTATCATTTAATATTAAAGTGTAATTTTTTATAAATTTAAACTTAAGAATGTAATATTTGAATAACTTATGATTAATTTACCTTTTGCCTGTTTACACTTACTGATTATCGATTTGTTTTTTTTTTTATAAAATCAATGATGTAGCGTTTTTCAAAACAGTTTGCACAACTAGAAATTGTTTTGAGTCTTGATTATTAAAAATAATAAGTTACAATTTTATTTAGTTTACAATACTTTTCAAACTAAACGTAATTCTAAGTTCCGATTTGCTTATTTCACTATTTCAACAGTCGCCTTGTTAGTTTGACCTTATATGTCGTCACACTTCACTTAGGCTCTTCGCAAAATCAATTTTACCTTGTCATATTAATTTGATGCCATTTTCTTTTCATAACATATCCCTAAACCTAAGGCAAAAAACACTTTAGATGTACTGTTATGTCATCATAAGAGCTTTTATATCATAAAATGGATACTTTACATAAGAACATTGGGATGTAGGTACTTAAAAATAATCAGAATACTCTACAAAAGCTACATTTTTGTTTTATGACAGAGCTATCGACCATCACTGAGCATAATTTAATTTCACAATATTATATGTCAAATTATAAATCTAATATCATTCTCTAAGAAATTTAAGAGCCCTTTCATATTTTTTGCAAAAAGTCGTAATTTTTGAGCGCCTCGTTTACCCCCTTACAAAAGATTTTGACTATTTCCAAAAGAAGTAAACAGTGCATTAATTTTTCTTATTGTAAGTTAATGTAGAATATTTGCAAAACCTATTTTCCTTTTTCTGTACTGATCGTTCTACTGCAGCTAGTTTACGGAAAAAAACGATAATATGCACAACTTCAAACGCCTGAATCTCTAAATAATGTTCAACACATTAGATCAAATTAGTTACTACGACATCAGAAATATGTTTTTGTTCTAAGATAATGTATTAGACTTTTGATTTTCTATCTCATTAATTATCAAAAAAATACATCTAACCTCCGTGAGTTTTCCCAAAAAATAATGCAGGTTTACCTCGTATTTTGATATTGAATTAAATAGAATTACTATCAAAAACTTTCATAAAACTAATCTACCATCATTGAACTACTGAAATGTATATATTTTTATAATAAGTTAATTAATAAGACTCGAAACATCACCCGTAAAATGCAATATATTATACATGTGCAAATCTACCTACGCGCCGATCAGTACGGCAGCGGCGCAAATTTGTAAAAGGGCTCTTAAATAAAAAATAACGAAATAAAAAAAGGGTGAAAGTAACGCAAGAATTTGCTGCTTTTATAAATAAAGTGAATTACAACATTTTGAAGAAGCAAGTATAAGTAGGTACTTCGGCGAGTACGTCAGAACACAATACAATAGGTGTACTTTGAAAAAACAAAGAGAGTGAAATATTTCAATTAGAAGTAAGTAAATAGGTACTTACCTAAAATCGGCGAGCACATCAGAACACAATACAATGGATGTACTTTGAATAACCATGAAGATTGAAATAAAGAAGATCTGTGTCTTCTGTACAAAGATATTAAATACCCTAGATACACCAACACGAACAAAATCATGCCCGAAACCTGTCCACAAGGTACATTGGACGATCCACGGAGTTCCGTAAGATGATCGCGTAGTCTAAACAATATAAGGCATTATTTAAACATTGAAAATCACCTTTAAAGCATACAGTATAAGGTCTTAATTAATACGCACGCGGTATAGAGTGATGACAGTCCGATTGTAAGCTCGTAAAATTTTAGTAGAAGAATAAAGACCTTATTTCTTTGACTGTACGCGCAATTCTGAATGCGCTGTTAGTAATATAGCAGGTATGGTCCGCGAGGAAAAGAGACGGCTATATTATCGACCATGCATTTGAATATCACAAATATTTTCTATTAAATCAGTTTATAGTAAGTATTAAAACTTACTTCATATGCGTTAAATTAACAAACATTGATTAGATACCTGTCGAAAAAACGACATTTTACATTCTTTATGTATTTCTTTCGCCTATTTTCACGGAGCTCAGCGGCATGTTGACTTTTCAACGGTCCGCGCGTGACTGTGAGTCAAGAAGTGCTTGAGTCGTGTTCAAGCACTTCTTGATTGGGTATCTAGGGTATTTAATATCGTTGCTTCTGTGGCAAAACTTCATACAGTACGCGTTCACAAAATGGATAGTGCAGAAGGTAATCTGCATTGTGCTCTTGAGCAACGCACAAATAAATACCGCTCACGAGCATGATGTGTCGGAACAGGGGACTTCCGTCTAACGGAATTGCTATGGCTATAGCTATTTTCTTTAATATTATAATTACCAATGCAAAAGAAAAAAGGGCGCGAGGCATTTGAAAATCTTTGCCAGCTAAAATAACAAAATGAAATCATAAGTCATAGCTATAGCCATAGCACCCCGATAGCCGGTAGGCTACTGGTCCGCTAAAAGCACAAAATACAAAACATAATATATCTATGTATAAATACAGTAACATTATTATTATAGTAACAAGGATATTTATGAAAGATTTGGCGATAAATGGAACTAACGCCGCCATCTTTGTTAAACGTCAAATCAGTGTCGCCAGTTCTGCTCAAAATTTAACTTAATTTTTTTCAGACAACTTCCCTAAACTAGGGCGATTTTCTAGTACTTAAAACATTCAAATTTAGCATTCGGCAGCGCCCTCCTTGCACTGTCGCTCACATTCTTAAAGATCTTTGACGCACTGTGATTATAATTTATTTTGGAACTCTTTTTAACAGTTACCAGCTGAACAACTATTGCCTCCAGAGCTTTACGCGTCGCCGCCAGCTCTCTACAGTAACCCTAGAAATCCCCTCAATCTGGCACAAATGCCAGACTTAGATTCAAGGTAAGAGTCGGTGGTCCTATAATTTAGTCTAAGTTAATTTATTCGACGTCCATAACTTTAGATAATTATTAACACTAACGTTACGTTAAAGGCCTACTAAATTACCCAATAGGGTATTTGACAAGTTTTAGAAAACGATCTCACGTTATTGACTAATGTTATGGAGTCCGTAAAAAGTAGATATTCATCATTCTGTTGTGTATTTCAGTAAAAATAACTAAATCAAAAACTCCATTTTCAAGTTGCCGCGAAAACGTTTTTCTGGACAATATGGCGTCTTACTAGTGTGTGACGTCACACGACTGTTATTAAAACGTCAAACGATACCATGTAATGTCACTTTAACCGGAAGTTTACTTGCGTGTGACGTCATTTTAGGCTCCGCCAATCCCAAGCGTTTTGGGTCACGTGACAATAGATAAGAAAACTATTATCTTTTTCGTGGGTTTTTAGTTAAATTATGAATATTGTTTTGTAAAAATAGTAAAAACCCCTGCCAATATTCATTCTAAACACAGATGCTAACAAATGGCACTTTATTTTTAATACTGTCAAATACCTTATTTTTAGGGGCCCTTGACCTGTCTAAGGTTGTTGTAATAAGAGTTAGGGACTCGATCTAGGGCGATCTCAGCATTAACATTATTTTGACAACCTCCGTGGCTCGAGTGAACGCCGGTTTTCAAGATGTTGCCTACTCAGAGATCCCGGGTTTAAACCCCGGTGGGGCAAATGTTTTTGTGATGAATATGAGCATTTCTACCCAGGTCATTGATGTTTATATGTATTTCTAAAATAAAAATATAATGTTATATGTCTCAGCATATGTATTCTATCCTTTACCCTAATATCCCAAAACACAAGATCAACAGTGCTTATACTTTGGGGCTAAGCTAATTGGTGAAACATTAATATTTATTTATTAGCAAAGAATACCTCATTCATCATCATCAACCTATTAATGTCCCTACTGCTAGGGCACAGGCCTTCCCTATTAATGTAATAGGGAGATTGGGCCATGACCCACCACGCGGGCCCTGTGCGGATTGGCGGGTAGTAACGACTGCTGATGCAGCCGGAGCCAGCGGCTTAACGTGCCTTCCGAAGCACGGAGAAACTAGAGATAGAAGATTTTTGGTCACTCATCCAATGACCGACCACTGAAAAAGTTGCTTAAGTTCAACGATCGCAGCCGAACGCGTAACACCCGCGCCATCGAGCCCCTCGAACATCTCATTCACTAGCAACGTAATCCTCAGGTACCTGGAATCCAGGCTGGACTCCCGGAGTTGTTCCAACTCGCCCCCGGTGAGGTTCAACGCGGACAACAGCGCGGTGTACTTCAGCAAACCAGTGCTGGACAGAACGAACAACACGTTACCACACTTGAAGACTAGGTTAAATGGTGAGTTGACTTTGTAATGTCATACCTTCATTACCTAGAAGGATTCCCACCGCTGTTCTAAGGGTCATAAGCTGAATGAACCCATATCACGCGCTGCAGCTGTGTATCTTAGTGGGTTGAATCATTGTGAAGTATACGTCGTTATCGCCCGCTGTTCTGGCTGACGCCAGCACTGGTCCTTCAAGTATCCCGCTCCATCTTCCAGGGTTGTTGAGGATGAAGAATTTTGCAGGAGCATTATCCAGGTAGCGAAGGGTCAGTACAGCTGCTGAAAGTGAGTTGCTGTTTTCTTTCGTAATAGTAGAATGCAGCGATTCCCGTAGGATATCTATCTCCTCTTCAACAGATGCTAATTAATTCTTAAGACCTATGGTGATACCTAATTTTGTGCTGGGCAGAATCTACGAACCATATACATACTTAGACACATTTGAGGAGTAGGTTAAATGTTGAGTTGACTTTGTAATGACTTGTCGGAGAAGAAACAGTTTTTATCATTATCATCGCCATCAGCCTATTAGTGGTGTTGGGGCACAGACCTTCCTTTTAGGTGGAATAGGGAGATCAGACCGAAACCCACCACGCGGGCCTGGGTGATTGGTGGGTGATAACGACTGCAGATGCAGCCAGGATTAGGGGCTTACGTGCCTTCCGAGACATGTAGGAGCTCGAGATATAGATTTTTTGGTCACCCATCCAATGACCGGTCATTGCGAACGTTGCTTCGCTTCCACAATCTCAGATCGGATGCGCTAACAATCATGCCATCAAAGCTTCTAGTAAATGTATATAAATGAAAATCCCCCTTATTAATAAACGAGGAATAAGCTTAGCTTAGTTACGCCGTGTTTTGTTCATATCACTCAAATGCAGGCAGGTGAGGATGGCTGATGTGGCAGGTGGAACTACTGTACTGCAGCTATCTTCACGTCTGGACTTCACCATCACGGTCATGATGGTGAAGTCCAGACGGTTCATCATCAGGTGGGGTGGAGTCATTTGTCGGACCTATCTATAAAAAAAATGCCATTTGTAATTTAATGAACAGAGACAAAACATAGAGTAACTAATTCAAGCTTATTCTTCGTTTATTAATAACGGGGACTATTTCTTTGAAAGTATGAAAATATTTTTTTTTTATAGGTAACTCGTCGAATCAGAGTGAAACAAAGACTAGTGCGACAAAATCGACTGACACGAGTCTCGAACATAACGTAATGTCGACTCAAGACTGCGGTTGAAAGTGTTAAAGTGTTACATTGACTTTGACTTTCGATTCGAAAGTGTTAACTTTAAGTTTAAAAAGTGAAGTGTTAAATATTTGCACCACAAGCAGCAAAGTGTGAAACCGTCCGAAGAAGTATATTTTCTTTTTTTTTCTTTTTAAAAGTGAAATAAGTGACTTATTTTAATTTAATTAGAAGAATATTATTTTATTATTCTTATTTCTAATTTTAATATTTTACTTTCGTTCTACGAATTTAATTGACAGTATTAAAATAATAATATAATCACTGCCATGTTGATCAACTAGAATTTCGTAAATAAATGTAATTGATCCCATTAGCAAATTATAAAAATATATAAAATATTTTCGTATTCACCGTCACGATCAAGTTTAGGTTTTATAATAATTCATTAATAAAAAAAATATGTTGAAAATATGTATGGATGGATTAAGACAATGCAAATTTTGATATTTGTACATTCTGCTCGATTTTCTATTGAGTTAGTGAATACTTTGATGAAAAAAAAACTCAAGATTTATCAAATTAATCGTAAAAGATGCTCATTTAATAGACATGGTTATAATTGGACCATATAATAATATATTAATAAGAACATTAATTCGAGTGACACGTAATCCATTTTTCATTACGATTCACGATTTATCAAGAGGGCCTAACCTGAGTAATTGCATTTTATTATTTTGTGAGCGAACGAAAAACGCAATAATCGTTAGCCATTACAGTTTCCAGCTGTTACTGAACAAATTGAGCGGTAAGCAGTTAAAAAATATTCAAGTGGCCTATTATATTAGATTACAGTTCAATTTGAGTTAGTCTCTAAAGAAAAAGATTCTCTCCTTAATTGGTTGTCGCGGGAAGTGTAATTGGCGTTTATTTAAGAATTTATTGCTGTTTTTTTTCTTTCTCTAAAGTGGTTTTAGGGACTGCCGGAATTGCAAGACTTTTTAAAAACTTTGTGAAAAAGGTGTATCATATTGTTTTATCATTTGAAAAAAGAAAAACTTTGTTGAAGAATTAATATCATATTATTTTATCAAAAATAAGTGGATGGTAAGAATTAGATTCTTGCGGTTCTTGGTGGAGAACTACGTGGTTCTGTCATTTTTAAATTTGTGTATGTTTCCTGTCCAGCCAGTGCATATCGACTTCATAAATTTCAAATCTTTTACAAAATAAAACCTTTTTAAAAAACAAACTTTTAAAGCTTAGCGTTCAATAATTAAAGTCTGATATAAATATACCATTTTATAGGTACCTTGTATCCCATTTTTTAACAAAAGCGTGAGAAATGAAAAGGGTGTAACGCGATTTTTTAAAAAAGGGACTTAAATTATTTTTGACTTTTTAGTTCTTTTTATAACAAACAATAAAAGCTTGTTTTTTAAAAAGGTTTTTGTATTTATTTATATTTTCAACTTTTTAGAATTTAGTATATTACGCCTTCCCTTAACGACGTTTTCTTTGTGTGGTAGTTTCCATATCAATCATGTTGTTTCCACAAGTATATGTTATGAACGGTTCATCCCACCAGAGGTACAAATCTAATAGGGTTGCATATTGAATATTATCTAAGACAACAAAGTTCTCATCAAAACTAATCAAACGAGCCCAAACTCGATACGGTTACGTCGTTTTTTTTCGAAAATCTTATAGCTACCTTCCAGCCTCACCATCAGACCGTATTTACCATATAGGACCAAAGTACTCGTCAAGACGAATCAAACGAGCCTAGAATTGATGGCATTATGTTGTTTTATAACGCAGTTTCTATGGCCACTTTCTAGCCCCATCATCAGATCCCTGATACCATCTAGAAAGTATTCGTCGAGACAAATCATAGGAGACGAGCGTTTTATAACGGAGTTCCTACGGTCATCTTTCAACTCCATTATCAGAACAGATACATGGTACCATATTATTGCATTGTCGCCAGACTTGCACAAGTACGCCAAATTTCATCTAAATTGGTTAACAACAGGTGGTCGAAAAATAGTTGTCAACGTTTGAAGCTACATATTACATAGGAACGAACGGGGCAAGTTAAATAAAAGCTTGTAAAAAGTCATTAGTCCCTTTTTTATATAAAATTTTGGAAAACATTGCAGCAAGGTTAACTTTATTATCTAAAATTGCATCTGGAATGGATGATACCTAATATTATCTTTAATGGTTTCCTAATTTTTTACTAGACCCTGAAGTTCAGAATATGGCATTAATTTGCCACTTATATATTTGTACTATTTCTTTCAAATAAATGATCTATTTCAACAGTAGATCTAGCTTCTTTGACTATCGTCATCATCATCCTATTAATGTCCCCACTGCTGGGGTACAGGCCTTCCCTATGGATGGAATAGGGAGATTGGGCTACGACCCACCACAGGGGTCCAGTGCGGATTCATCATCAGCCTGTTAATGTCCCTACTGCTGGGGCACAGGCCTTCCCTATGGATGGAATAGGGAGATGAGAGCAGTGCGGATTGGCGGTTCTAATTACTGCCGATGCAGTCGGGACCAACGGTTTAACGTGCCTTCCGAAGCACGGAGGAACTCGAAATACAAGATTTTTGGTCACCCATCCAATGATCGACCATTGCAAAAGTTGCTTAACTTCAACGATCGCAGCTGAACGCGGTAACCACCTGTGCCATCGAGCTCCTCTTTTACTGGACCTATCTATTAATTTCTAGCACATATAACTAGTCTTTGTGATAAACGGTAACATCGTTTCCAGATAATATGGCACTGAGTATTGGAACTATGTATTCGAGGTAATTCACTGGCAAATTACTGCGGTATCTATTGTTCACACTGCTGAACGCTTATTGCGGTGTGGTTGACTCGAGCATGGGACATTCTCAATTAGTCGCTTAATAGATTCTCATTATCTTGTATTAGGTCTTCATAAGGTAGTATAAGGTACAGGCTGGCAAGATGAGAATGGTTATAGAGTCACAATTTTTCTGTCGCAGCAACAGATTGTAGGAAATGTAAGCTAGTTCGACGGGAACACATCTTTCACAGTAGTTGAGTTTAGATAAAGAATTGATTAATAGAATTAATTGATGACATAAAAAATGCCTTTTTTTAATTAAAATGTCTTGCATTTTTACAGTTTAGAAGATGTTGATTGTTATTAATTAATCAAAAACAAAATAGAATCAATAAGTGTCAAGTGGATATTGCTGTTTATATTACAAAACTTAATTCTAAGGACGGTTCAATATAAAATAGTAGGTAAACGGCTAGATTTAATAATAAGTTTACGTCGCTTATCGCTGAAAAAATAGATAGGATGAAAATTGAAGTCAATTTATGTGAATAGAAGAAAATATAGAGACCCTGATTTTACATCTTCCCTAAGATGTATAAGACTGAATTTATAGCTTAAAATTACGAACGGAAAATACATAGATGAAGAAAAAAAAAACAATCGTCCACAGATTGTTAAGTTTACCATACGATTACTTATATTATAAAAAATATTTTGTTTTTTTTTATTAATAAATATTTTTATTCCTTTTTTTTCTGGTCACATGAACAAATTAAAAATAGAAGTGCTGTCAACTTGAAAATCAATCAAGGGATTACCCTTGATCATTGATGATGATGATCAATGATTACATTTGAGGGCCTAACAATCCTGGATAACGCTCTTATTTTATAACTACAGCAGTATCTCTTTTTCATTCTCTCTAGAGTGTGAAAAGGATAAATTCATTAAAAATATTTGTTTGTAATTATTTAAACGAAAATAAGATCATTTAAAAATGATCATCAAGAATAACAAATGATCACCTAAAAATAAAATTGCCAACCTAAAGGTTAAGCTAGGATACCAATTGTTTTAAATATTTGATTTATTTAAACACCTATCTCGGGAATATTAAAAGCTCGTTTTACACTTTAAGTGAAAAAAGTGAAATTTTTGCTGATGAATTCTAGAAACTTATTTTTGCACATTTCTCTGTGCTTTGCCTTTTTTTAAGCCTGCCTTCAATTATATTATATTTGTTTAAAGTTTAATTATCACTAACATTATAGTAATTTATGTTATCAATGGTATTGCTACCATGTATTTATTTCGTTTTCCCAAATATATCAGTTCTATTGCAATATTGCAAAATGTAAGTGCCATCAAAAAGAAGGTATAGGTTGCGGCAAACTTTTTGAATAAAACCACAGATATATAAACATGCGCAGTAGACGTTTTTGTGTGTAAAATTGTAAATGCGCAGGCTTCCTTGTCTATGGTCGTTGCTGAAGAAGTTTGCCGGGGATTATATCTGCATGGTAGCAATCCTATAAATAACATAAATTACTCGACCTACAATAATTTCTAAATTGACAAAAATTTTACAACTTTCAGAGGATGTTTTTGCCATTTTCCCTTGTTGCCATGTCTTTGTTTCATACAAATTGGCATTTAGATCTTTGTGATCAATTTTACGTAGGAAGAAAACATAAAGCAGCACGAGCAATTCTGGCCACGACAGTAGTGTTGCTATATAGTAGAAGTAGCTATTTTCTACCATATGGTAGAAAAGCAAAAAAGCGAATAATCAAGTTGACAGTATTTCTATTACAGTTGCCAGTATTTCTATTATAGTTGCCGGTGACATAATTAATTTATTGATTTCAAAATATTTTGATACATTTTTGTATTCTAAAAGTAATCGTTCGATTATCTATGTAGTATAATAATGTTACAAAATAGTACGACACGTTGTAATTGTAAATAATGTACATATTTTGTTTAATTAAAAAAGTAGTTATACGAAAGGTTGCCATAATAGTCACAGTTTAGTTTAACGTAGTTCTTATATTATTATTAACAATGTAATTATTGTAATATTAACAGAAAAAACACGAGCTTTTAAGTTATAAATTATTAAAAATAGTTGAGAATTGTTTAATAATGTTGTGTGATTAAAAAATGAATAATTGGCAGTTACGTAAATAAATAATCACTGCGAATCTGTATAAATATT